AGTGGGGAGCAAGACTTACACAACCCAATAAAGAAAGCACACCCATGCTAGGTTAGGACTAGAATATTTCTAATGAGGGTTTGACTTGAGATAATGACTTATTAAGGCTGAAATTAAGTTTAAATTCATCTAGACACCTTCTAATATGGGTGCATGACATTGACCATGAAAATCAATAGGCCACAATTCCATGGCTCGGCACTAGGGTTCAGTGAGACGCGCGTGCGCTTTGCTTGATCCCGGTTCTCCTTGGCGTGCATATTCTCGGCCTCATGATGGATCGACCATTTCTAGGATTTAAGTAATAAATCATGGTTCTTATGAGCACATCAAAGACTACTAGGGTGTAGGGTTCGAGTGGTGTCGAATTGTGCGGGCGCACATCTAGGCGCTTGGCTAGGGCTCGACTAGGACTCAACGCACGATCTTGAAAATATCGGCATGACCAAACAATATAACTTGATCATACTAACATATATGAGTAATAATCAAGCAATTAATCACATACTATCATATAAAAGCACATAATTCATATAATAACTCTTAGAGCTACTGAATCGAACAACTTTAGGGTTCAAACATTACCCAGTTCACTTTAAAGTCGAGCAAGTGAATCTGTATTATTTATTAACTGATCGGGGCGTTACACTCCCCACATAAGAATAGAAACGCCCTCCACAGGGGAATCAGTACCGAGACCGACGGCCCAAACCTAAAACACGATCCTACTACACAAGACAACAAAAAAGAACAATTAAAAAACACACAATCATAAGCCTAGCAACACACCACATGACACAAAAAGAGAAAATAACAAAGCAACAAAACAATAACAAAAGCCCTTCCCTAGCAATCAAACGAGTCGAAACATCGGAGAAACAAAAGAATCCACGAAAGATCCCAAGCCCACAACTGCTGTCGAACGCCTATACTGAAGCCAAACCCAGACCTCGAACCTAACCCGAATCAATCCACCCCAACTGAGTGAAACAAGGAACCAGCTCCCTACTATGTCGCCACCCGAACTCGTCTAATACTACTAGTCAAATTCGGTTGCGCTGGAGTCCCCAACCATCCCCAACACCAGAGAACCGTGGGGGTGAGAACTACTCAGTTCCACAACTCCGACCTCCCGGACAATGCGTCGCAGCCGCCAGAGTCCCAACCCTCCCGCTGAACCACACCCATCCCCACTCACCGCAGACCTCCGGCCATCGGAGCCCCATCCGCAGGAACCCCAACAGAATAGGTGAAGTCGACCCCACACTCATACCAAAAGATGATTGAGCAGCCAGGACACCTCAAATGAGGACCTGCCGGCGACCGTGAGACCATAATCAGTCTTAGACCAAGGGAGCTGCACCGGGAATTCAACGCGCCGGCAGTCAAGGGCACTGAAAGGAACCCCCCCTAATTTGACTAATTCCCCCCAATCCCGGACCAGAAAAAAGAAGGACACCGCAATTGAGGACCAACTAACGCTGAGAGGACCACCAGTGTTCGACCGAGGGCAGGGCACGGAATCCCGAACTCGCCGACAACAAGGGGTAAAACTCCAAGCCCGTTCATCTACAGAGAAAAGGAAAAAGCGCCTACAGGGACGGGACGAGCAGTCAAGGGTGACCACTGGCCCGAACCTCACCGGTGCCAAGGAAGGCAGATCGATGAGGGTAGAGGAAGACGATCAGCGATTTGGGTTTTCTGAGAACGAGGGTTTTTTAGAAGACTCAATTAGGATTTTCAGGATACAAAATTTAAAGTTTTGGATAAAAAGATGTTTTGATATACTCTGACTCATATTTTTCAAATTTGGTTATATTTGGATGCTGATTTTAGCTTCAAATTATATTATTATAAAGATGTGTACTCAATTTAATTAGGGTGATTTATGTATGACCACGATATTTAGATCTGGATAAATGATATGAACTAGCATATTTGCCAAATTAGAATAAGTGGATTTCAGCTTCAGATTTGTACATAATACATCATAACAGTTTGCAATTTATCCTTTTTTCTGATATATTTTTTGGTTTAGCGAGTTAATTTTTTTAGTTTATGATTGTTGCGAACTAGAAGCACGACTCTCATGTTAAACTTTATCTTTTTAAGGACACTCTAGAAATTTTTATTTGTGATTTTCAATAACACCAGGTAGGGCTGGCTAATTAAGACTGATAATTGTTGTTACTATTATTTTTGTAGCATGTAATTTGATTGAAGAAAAGAGAAAAGGCACTCAGTAAGTTAAATAGAATGACAAGGATGTCTGTGGTTGCTACATGATTCGGTTCTGCCCCTACGATTTGAAGTGACTTAGGTAATACTTTTTCTTAAATAGTGTGTTTTTTTGCCATGATCGTATAATTTTGATATGCTTGGTGAAAAGTTCATCCAAAGGTTTTACTTTGTAATTCTTTTATCGTTTGTATCAGGTATGTGCCCAAAACATCATGAGGCAAAGTTGAAGGAAATGTACTATCCGCTTATATAGCTGCAATTCTTGTTTCATAATGTTTTACTTTTATTCAAGTTTGACATTTTTTTTATCCATAACTTCTTAGCGGTAAATTCGATCCTACTGGTGAGGGCACTGCCCTCACCGTCTCAACAGCTGACACATGTTGATATCAACTTTTTTATTTATTTTTTATTTTTACTTTTTTAAATGCTGAAAGTCTTAGCCAAACCAACAAAAATCGTAACTGTGGTTAACCAAAATTCATTTCCCCCCAATCAAGCCCACCACTCTATGATCTAAAATTTTAGGAATGGAATTCAAATTTTTTTCAACAATGTTATATAAAAAATTAGTCTCCCTTTTATTTTCGTTTTCCTTCTTTAACTTCATCTTCTTCTTAAAAAAAAAAAAAAAAAAGATAAAGATTTCCTTTTAAAAAAAGGGGACAAACTCCGTCGTGGAGATGACGACATTCATAGGGCTCAACCGGTCCGGAATCGCACAGATCTGGGTTCAAATCGAAAAATCTACGAAGTTGATGATAACGTCGGAGCCGGCATCGGTCGGCGGACCTATTGGGTACGAGAAAGGAGGGTGCTGGATGGAGGGTTGAGTTTGTGACATTTAAGCAAAAAATGAAGAAGACGACAACAGAGGAAGAGGATGACTATGGCTCTGTACCAGTTGCCCCTTTGCCTTGCGGACGGATCTAGCAATGAGGATGATTCAATATTTCTATCAACGGGCAATTGTTAACCTTGTTTTTTTATTTGGGCTGATTTATATGTTTGGGCCAAAAGATTTTTTGTTAATGCATGGTTGATAACATTAGATACTTTGGCCAAGCTTATTTATTAATATTATTATTATTTTATTATTTTATTATTTGGGTTGTGAAAAATTCTACAAACTTTTAACATTTAGGTTGGTTGATGTTTTATTGGACCTGGTTGGTATGTGTTGGGCCAATTTTTAATTTTTTTATTTGGGCTTGTTGATATGTTGAGCCGAATTTGTTAATTTTATTTGTTAAGAGCTGGTTGATGTAATTGTTGGACTAAGATTTTTTTTCTTTGGATTTAAATAGTGTTGGGCTTGTTTTAGCTTTGGGTTGCTATCATTTTATTTTGTTGGACCTGGTTGATGTGCTTGTTTTGGGTTGGCAATTGTTATTTTTTATTATTTTTTATTTGGGTCTGTTGATATGTTTTTTGGGCTGATTTTGTCACTTTTCTTTGTAAGGGCAGGTTGATGTGCTTGCTGGGCCAAACTTATTTATTGTTCTCTTTGAATTAAATTGTCTTGGGCTTGTTTTTTGTTCTGGGTTGATATCGTAAAGTCAAAATTTGGAACAAGTTGAAAAAGAAACTCACTTACTCCAAGAAATCTTTTTAACTAACATACAAATATATAATTACACTAATAAAGAGAAGTAAGTTAATTCTAATTTAAATGTCTCACAACCACCAAAAATATGTTCCACAATCACCCAAATACACTTCAAAATAACCCAAACTCTAGTAAAACATGTTAATACAAATATTCAAGACCAAATCAAATTAGTCACCATACAATTGCAAAATAATCAAAATTTCTACCACAAATAGACAAAGTCCAATAATTCTAATTACTTAACAAATGTCGCAAAATACACCTCGTACGAAATATTGCAATGAAACATGCTCCAATCTTCAAATTTAGTTCCGCTTGTTATGAGATGAGCCCTGTTAAAAGGAAAAAAATTACATGAATTTGAATCCATTTTCTTTTATCCATGAGAAAATTAAATATCAACAAGGCCAAACTATTCTTATACCTGAGAAGAATACGGAAATGGATATCCGAATAAATTCAGATCACCAAAATACATATTTCCAGTGCCTCCCTGCAGAACAATTCCAGTGAAAAAAAAATATGGATATTTCATATTTTAACTAGGAAAAAAAAAATTTACCCCTTGAGTTGGATATTGCCAAGATGCTTGACTTGACCCGGATTGAGATGCAAATTGTGGAGCCTGAAATGGAAGTTGATGTGGCGACACATTTGAGGGTTGTGGTAGCGGTATGTTAGGGAACTGAGGTAGCGACACATTAGGAACTTGAGGTGGCGACATGTTAGGAACTTGAGTTCGAGGGATGTTATCCGATGTGTGTGAGATTTGAATACCTTGTGTACGCTGAACTTTTCTTTTCGATCCCTTTCCACCTGAAATACATTGAATCAAGTTAGAAAGAAAAAGAATATTGATTTTTTTATTTAAAAGACAATACAATATTATTTAGCTGAACTTACTTGAAGTATCCCCATGCATCTTAGAAATTCCTTTTCCCTTTTTGTTCTTTTTATCCCAATGACGAATCATGCATGCATTAGTTAATCCTCTTGACTTGGCCGTAAGTGGATTACGTATCCGCACACTCTCTACATCACCATCATTTTCAATATCATCATGCACATCTGAATCTTCAAGATTCAAATTTTGAATAAAATCAACAATTTGGTCTCTTGTTGAATCGAGCATTGTGGTCAACATGTTTCATGCCTCCAAGTGAGTTTTGCTCATGTGAGCAAGATTATAGGCCGTTCTCATTGCTTTGTTCACAAAGACTAGATCGGATTCTTCACCAGTTCCACAAGAAACATCACTAGCCTTGAAATCATTAGAAACCCTTAACCTTGCACATTTCATCCACCTCTTCAAAAGATAAGCATCCGGTATCATAGTTACATCCATGTAGTTAAACACCACTAAAATATGCTTGCACAAGATTCCCATGGTCTCAAATTTGTGACAACTACACCTTGTCTCATTAGTTTGAGTATTCATCGAAACATGTCTTATTCTTGAGCTATCACCGTTGGATTTTACTCGAAACTCTAGTGAAGTTCCATCATTACCAATACTAAAAGGTTGGCCATCAACTTTGCAATTCAAAGAACCGACAAGTTCATGCTCAAACAACCCATAAATGGTAAGCGTGTACACACTAGCAGCATGATCGAGCAATGGGTGGTTCTTAAGTATTTGAGAGGGTTTGCCATGACGACAACGAGTGTCTTCAACCTTCTCTTTTGTGCGCCACTGATTCTGAACTTTTTCGTAATTAATCACGAACTCATACAAAGAGCTACTCTTGCTACCGGCATGTTTTAAGACTTTATTTGCATTCTGACTCCTCGATGTAGCCAAAAGACCGGCACTGAATAACTCGTTATTAAAAGTTGTAGCCCATTTTCTCCTAAGCTTGTACATGCCATTGAACCATTTACGATCATGCAAATGATATGAATCTACCATAAATTTCCAAGTGTTCTCAAACTCTTCCTCAGATTCACAATGAGACATGCACTTATACCATAAATCCTTGAAGGATGAATTACCATTTAAATCCCCAAAGTGTGAAGGGGCATTTTGATTTATATGCCACTGACACAAACGATGATGAGAATTCGGGAAAACATTTTCTATTGCATTCATCATGGCTTGACATTGATCAGAAAATATTATTTGAGGTTGTTTACCATTCATTGAATCAAGAAATGTCGCGAAAAACCATTCAAATGAACTTTGAGTTTCATCGGACATAAAAGCCAAGCCAAACAAAACATTATTCCTATGGTGATTTATGCCAATGAATGGAGCACATATCAAATTATACTTATTTGTTCTATAAGTAGTGTCAATGGACAAAACATCACCAAAGTACTCGTAGTCCACCACACACCTATAGTCCCTAAAGAAAAAATTCATCACCCTATCATCGTCATTCAACTGCGCATTCCAGTAAAAGAACGATTCTTTATTTGCCTTTCTTATAAAATGTTGAAGTAATGCAGTGGCATCCCCATTTTCAATTTTCGTATGCTTCTTTAATTTCTCAAAATGGTCATACGCATCCTTTCTAATAAAGCCTAAATTTTTAGGCCCATGTGCTTCATTCTCCATATAAGAAACAACACTAGCAACAGATATTCCGGCATTCACCATTGCTTCCAAAGTTGATTTTTTGGCATGAGAAATGTTACGAGCTGACCTTAATAAATGAGTTTGATCTGGAGCAAACATTTCATGATTATGTTCAACAACAAATTTACTCACTTGCCAATCTACCCCTTTCGGTCTGTTAATCTTGAGTTGTGCTTTACATGAAGTTCTAGTTATTGGCTTTTGATAAATAGGTATTTTTTTACTAGAACTTTTTTCATCTTTTACACCAGCACATGAACAATCAAAGGTCTTCGACTGAATTTCAGTACTACGGGGAAAACAACGTTGATCGCCCTTTCTAACGCTAAATCCTTTAGCATGTGCATATTGACAATAGAGCAAATAAGCATCTTCAATAATTTTAACAATTTTACCCACGACTAATTTACTCTCAAGAACATCAACCATACCGTTAGATGATTGTATCCCAACATGCTCACCAAGCCCCGATTCAAGCAGCTCCAAGTCGGGCTCTTCAGTTTCAACTTCACATACACGATCTTCTCCAACATTTGCTCCATCCAGATTTCCAGTTGAGAAGGAATAGATTTTATCCATTTTTCTGCAAATATAGGAAAAAAAAAACAATTTCAGCTTATATGTCTAAAACTGAAAATATCAAAAGTTAACAAGCAATTAGAATAAAAAATGAACAACTAACAAACAATTTTATCTAGAATATTCACAACTACTTCTCCACCTTAATTGACATTGTTCAGAATTCCATGAAAAATGAGATTATAAAGCACTAACTAGCTTAATTTCAAGAATTAAGACAAAAAAATCTCAGTGTCTGTTGACAGTCATTCTAAAATTATAAAAATCTCAATGTCTGTTCCAAGAATTCACAATCACTGTATCAGTAAACATTTCCCTAAAAATGCCAAAATGAAAAAGCCCAAGTGCCCTCTAAAATTAATGTAGAGAAAATGAAAAATATAAAAAGCAAAAGAAAAAAAAAAAAACATAGAAACCATCTCTGCGAAAGGGGCATCAACATTCAATCCAATCCAAACCAAACCATCCTCAGAAGACTTTGTTCTATGTCTGAGATGTGATTTATCTTTTTCGAACCAGATGAAATGCAACAAGAAAACAAGAATCGTACCTTTATGGACATTCAGGGATTCAGACAAAGACCAACGGACACGGGAGACAGGTGAATACGACGAGAAACGGGCGGAGACGAACGGACACAAGAGGGAGACGAACGGACACGAGAGGAGGCGGACGGAGATGATGAGAAACAGAGAAGGTGGAGATGGGCTGGAGACGACCGGTTATGGCAGAGCCGCAGAGACCAAAAATCTGATATTGAGGCTAGGGTTCTCGACTGTGCGAGTGATTTCAAAAATCTGATTGTAATTTGTTTTCTTTTGTTTTTTTTAATTAAAAGTTTTGGGTAGGTGAGTTGTAGTAAATTTAAATTTAACCATGGTTTGTTTTTTTGGTTCACACTTTCAGATTTTAAAAAAAAAAAGAAATAAAAAAAATAATAAACTTTTAATAAAGCCACGTGTCAGCTGTTGAGCCGGTGAGGGCAGTGCCCTCACCGGTAGGATCGAATTTACCCTTCTTAGCAATGTTGTTGCATATTCTCAGTGTCAGATTGACTGCCTATTGTGATATGTTTTCCGTTCTCTGTCTTCCATTTAATTATTTCATCTTTGAAGTCGGAAGCTCAGAAGTATGTAATAAAGGGTGGAATGTGTTTTAATACACTATATTCAGTGGGTACATTTTGTATAAGTGGTAGTAAAATGCATTGCTATACTTTGACATGACAAACAGTCGTGTTTAGTGTTCCAAGTGATAAATTATGTATTTGTAAGTCTTGGTTCTATCAGTATCTTGATTCTATCAACAACTTTGATGAGTATCTTGATTCTATCTCATCACTTGTGTGTTTGTGTACGCACTCTATTGTTTATGAGTTGGGATTGAATTGAAAATTTGAGCATTTTCTGCACCCGTAGATAAAAATTTTCATTTCAAAAACTCATTTTTATTATCCATTTTTACTTTCAAATTTATGTCGTCTTTTATACTATTGTTATCAGAAAGTATTGATTCTTGGCTCTATTTTCTGTAATCTGGTTGCACAGGTTTCTGTTTGCATGAGAAGTTTGAGATGGAAGCCGGGTTTTTGTTGTGGCTGCTTTTTCTAAATTCACTCTTCAGTATAGTGGTAAAGACTCAATCTTAAGCAAACTAAAAGGTTTTCTTTTCAGTTTGTTGTTGTGTTAGTTTTATGTTTCACTCTGAACTGAATGAAATTAATTTAACTGCTGCTGGCCCACCGATATGTCCTGAAGATATTACAAGCGACTGTAGTGCAAATGGTGGTGAATGGGAAGGTGAGTTCTTTCTTGGATTTCGAGAGATTAAGTATGAGGTAAGTTTATTTATCTGTCAAAGGTCGTTTTTAAAGTTTCATCTCTTATCGACTGTAGTGCAAATGGTGGTGAATGGGAAGGGGAGTTCTTTCCTGGCTTTCGAGAGATTAAGTATGGGGTAAGTTTATTTATTTGTCAACGATAGTTTTTAAAGTTTCATCTCTTATTTAATTACTTCACATGAAATCTCAAAATTAAATTCCTTGGCTGAAAATTAGTATTGAAAAAATTGTGTGGTTTAAATGTTCTTATTTGTTTTAATGTCCTAATGTAGGGACCTTCAAGTAAGAATCCTCTCTCTTTTAAGTCATACAATGATGAAGAGGAAATTCTTGGGAAAAAGATGAAGGTGAGTTTTTTTTTTTTTTTTTTTATAATGGTCAAATATTCAGATGATCATATGGGAGAATACTGAATAATATCTGTAATTTGTTTAGGACTAAATGAGTTTTAGCGTTGCGCTTTAGCCTAAACCAATACTTTTTTTTTAAGTGTCACCTACGTGAAGAATGTGGTACTTCATCGAGATACATGCTAATCATGACAGCAAAAGTTATTGACAACTTTGAAAATGTAATATTGAGTAAAAATAGACTACAAAATATCAAGCACTATTTTATTCAAAGTGAAATTCCGTTCTTTTAATCTTGATCCTATGTTATAATGGTTTTATTTTAGGTGTTTAACTTGAAAGAATTCTACTCAATAGAGGATAATGATGATGTAAGGAGACGTTGGTCCCAATATTTTCTCGATAACTCATCATTAGTGAAGTACTGTAGATTACTTTCTTTATTTTGACACAATTGTTAGTGTGACTTGTTATGTTGTGTATGTCGAGTTATCTTCGACATTGACTTGGTATTGTTGTTCGTTTCTTAATATGAACTATCTCGCTCGTTGGTATTGTTGTTTGTTTATGAATTTCAACTATCTTGTTGAATATTGACATTGAAATGAAGTTGGTAAATCTTTGGTTTTGTCATTTGTTGTTTGTGTTGATGGTTTTGTTAGCTTTAAAATATAGGTGTGATAATTTTTTTTAAAAAAATTGAAATTTTATGTGACTACAACATTTAATTCTAATGACAACAGTAACTTGTAACAACAACATAAAACCGTAAGTGCCTGTTGATATAGTGACAATTATATTTGTCACTACATGGGTTAAAATATAGTGGCAAAACCTACTCGTCACTAAAATATCAACTTTTTGTGACGAGCAATATATGCATCAAAATTTGGTTTTTAATGACAATAGTTAATGTGACTAAAAGTTTGGTTCTTGTGATGATTATAAGAGTCGTCATTAAAACTTGTAGTCACAGTACATATAGTGACGACATAGTAACAACTTTTAATATTGCCACAAATGTATATTGTGACGATATTTAAACATATAGTGACAAATATTGTCGCAACTATAATGATTATTCTTGTAGTGATATAGCCTAAGGGGCTGAAAAAAAATGATAATTATTTTGGTCTCGATGAATTCTAAGAAGTCGAGAAATAATTAGAATCGAAGAAATCGAAAATTGCTAGAAATGATCGACATTCGCTAAACCCAAAAAAATTGAAATAAATAATTCGAGGATAAAAATAGAATGCAATTAAATGAATAATAAAATAGATAATCGAGATGTTAAACAAGGGCTCGAAATATTAACTCCGAGGTTCGTTCCAAAGTTCCGAGAAAACAACGAGAACGGTTCGAATACGAATTAAACTGGATTAAATTCGGTTTACGCCATTAAACCGAAAATCGTCGAATGACGAACGTTTTAAAAATAAAACGAACAAGTACTCAAATGTATTATTAAGTTCCAATAATGACGACAACACGACCATTATAATTAAATTTAAATCAATAAATAAATCTGATAAATTCTATAAATCGAACGGGGTGCTACAGCCCCAGCGCACGCCAGTGCCCAAGCCCGTGCCAGGACACCCCGGCAGCACCCAATCGAGCCCCATTTGACCTTTTCTGCACCCGTTTGACTTTTCTTTGACTCGTTATCTTGTTTTACATGTTGAATATGTCTTAAATGATGTTAAATGGTATTTTCGAGTCTAGTGGTCTACTCCAAAGGTTCCAAACTCCGCTAAAGGACCCACGAATCACTGAGTTGATAATGTTCGGCTAAGTAAATGTGTTGTATATGACTGCGAGTGTCGGAATAGTTGTTGATAGGACTATTCTTGATGAATGTAGGTGTTTGACGAGTCGTGCTCTCATCCTACCGGCTTTTGTGTGCTATCTTTTGCTTTGTAATCCAGGTGGGTTGTATTTTAAGAATTGTTATGTCGTGATTAATTGATGCTATGGTATGATCAATGTATGCATGTGAACCATGTAGCCTTCGATGTGAGCTGTACGGGCCGACAAACGGTTATCCCCGTAGCTATAGAACGGACCCCGTTAGGGTAATCTCCTTTCTTCACATGTAAGACTAGGGCAAGGACTCTCAGCTGGCGATATGCACCTCATTGTTAGACCAAGGCAAGGGTCTTGGCCGACGGGTGACCTCGATGTAAGACCAAGGCATGGGTCTTAGGTGCCGTCGAGGATACTCCTATTGTTTGGGCATCGTTGTAAGACAAAAGCAAGGGCCTTGGAATTCGATACGTGTATCAACAGTAGTCTATTGATATAGGTGTCCACATAAGGTTTGACTCTGAGATAGTAGATTGGACAGTCGATTGATTCGTATACATGCTGCGACAATACCTGTCTTATATTATTTGTTATTTATGTGCATATTGGTGAGCAAGTTGATATTTGTGTTCACCCCCATGTCCCCCCCAGATGTAGGTTAAGCAGGTTGCGGGCACGGAGAGGCGAGGCGAGTGGTGGTCGGTCTAGATGACTAGACCATTGTTTGTTTATGCTTCCGCGTTATTTGAGATTATTTATGACTTTGGGAATTTTGAAACTCTGGATAATTTGATGTTTTGAATTACTGTTTGGGGAGATGCCGCGTTGACATTGCGATGTCTTATCTTGGAAATTTAGAAACCCGTTTTGGGTGATTGATGACTTTAGATAACACCCATGATTGGGTGTTGATTTGACTCTGGATGAAACCGTTGTTTAGGGTGTTGATTTATGATTGATGTCATTGCTATGACTGTTATATATGGTTTTGACTTTGAAATAAATGAGTAAGCCCCAAGTGTTTGAAATGAGGTTTGAAAATTTCATTGATTTTTCTGAAAAGCCATGGATTTTCGTTAAACAAAGTGGGGCGTTACAACTGCTTGGAAGGCGTTGAGCGAGGGTCTTCCCAGGTTCACATTGTAGGCTGACTCGACATTCACCACCACGAATCGTACCATCTTTAACTTTTTCAGGTCGCTCTCCCCCAAGACTAATGCCAGCATAGTTTTTCCTAGGGCTGCGACTTCAGATCCGTTGAACCCAAAGACGATGTGTGCAGTGGCGTGAGCTCGATGTCAAGTTCCATACTTTTAAGGCAATCTTAAAAAATAACATTTACAGAACTCCCTGTGTCGACAAACACTCTCTGCACCTCGTAGCCCGATACTTACGCGATTATCATCAAACCGTCATTGTGCGGCCGCTCGACTTCCCCCACATCTGTTGGCTTGAAGTTCATCACTGGCCCATTATCGTCGACTTGTTGTATCTCGCTTTTGGCATGTTGACCTCAAGCATATGCCTTCCTTGCTCGATTTGAGTCTACGTCGGTTGATCCTCCAAATATCATGTGAATCACTCCCCTCTTAGGAGGAATTTCCTCCTTCTTAGGTGATTTCGCCCTCTTGCGGGGGCTTTTGCTTCTTTCTCTCATCCTACTCGACCTCTCCCTATCCTTGTATATAAATTCCTTCATGTGCCCAGTTTTGATCAACCTCTCGATCTCGTCTTTGAGGTGCCTGCAATCATATGTATTGTGCCCATAATCTTTGTGGAATCGTTAGTACAAATTGCTTTTGGCTTCAGGGGTCCATCCTTCATCGTCCTGTGTCATCTCACCACATTCTTATGAATCTCTTTCTCCCTCACCTCTAATATTCTCGCCTGGGGGGCCGATAAAGAGGTGTATTGGATTGTTCTTCATATCCTTCGCCTCTCTCTGGTCGTGGGGATCCCCTCCTTTCCCCTGACGAGTGAGCTTTCTTTTCTTTCTTCTTGTCTCGAGTGTCCGTTTTAGTTGCCTTTGCTGCTTGCAAAAAGTCAGCTTCTGCTTCCTCAACATTCATGTATTTCGCACATCTCTCCAACACTTCATCAAATGTCCTACCAGGTCGTTTCGCCAAGGAATTTCTACATAATCCCGGTAGCAGCCCACTAGTCAGTCCTCTCGACTTAATCTCCTCCGTTGTCGTGGGCACATCGACACACGCCCGCGTATATCTCGCCCCATAGTCTCGTAGTGATTCTCCCTCTTTTTTCCGTATTCTAATCAGAGTGAGGTACTACTTCTCCTGAGCTTTGACACTGGCAAATTGATTGAGGAAACTTGAGCTGAACCCGTCAAAGTCCCTGATAGCTCCTGGTGGTAGTTGGTGAAACCAGTCTTGCGCAGGTCCTCACAATGTCATTAAGAAAGCTCGACATTGGACAGGGTCGCTATAACGGTGGAGCACCGCCATGTTCTCGAAACTTCTCAAATGTCTAGACGGATCAGTAGACCCATCATACCATATGCTTAACACTCTGAATCCCTGTGGCAAGTCGGCATCCAAGATATGCTGACAAAAATAGATGTCCTCTCGAGCTTCCACTCTTCCTCCCTTTCACTCGAGCTTGCAAATCTCGAACCTGGGCCACCAACTACTCCAATGTGTCATTTTGCGCCTGCAGGTTGATGGTTCTAGTCGAGGACTCCTCCTCGTCTGCCCTCCTGGTATGGCACTCATTTGAATATGGATTAGTATATATGCACTTGCATAATTGTTAATTATTTAGTTCATTTAGATATAAGATTATAATATTACATAATGGTGTGAAAATAAATTTTTGATGTATCATTATGTGATACCCGTTTTTTCTTTCCTTTTTTTTTTTGGTACAGGGACCTTCTAGTTTCCGGATCCACAAAGGAACCGACTAATCTGGAATCGAGCCGGGTAGGACCACAAGGACGGCAAAACTCTCCCTGAAGATATTTAACACTGCTGTATTCCCAGTGCTCGAACACGAGACCACTGGTTAAACTGAAAGAGACCCAAACCATCTCATCCAAGCGCTCTTTGGTTCTTTCCTTTTACATTACATATATATATATATATATATATATTATATATGTATATGTATGCTTTACCATAGTGGCACACAATCGGTTTCATTTTGATATTCTCAAAGGAACTATAAAGAAGAGCATTATTATTATTATTTATTATCTATTTATATTATTATAGTTTTAGAAAAAGGGGGAGCCATCAAAAACAAAAACAAAAACAGTTCCCCACTTTGCTTCTCTGTCTTTAATGTATGATCAATCAATCTCCTTTTCTTTTTATTTTTGCCCATCTGACATCTTTCTTATCTGACGCCCCACCACCACCTTTCTCTACCTTTTTTCTCTCTATAATAAAATGATCTTATCTCCAACTTCTTTCTCACTCTCTCTCTCCCTTTTTTTCTCCTGCAGCCTCAACACCAATTTTGGTAAAAACTAAAATCCTTCCTCCATAATCTGTCTTTTCACTCACAAGCTGAGGTTTTTGGAGGCCCCCTTCCACTGACTGCACCCTTCAAGGTACTTTTTTTTTTTTT